ACCATCTTAGCCAACATGGTGAAAACCCGTCTCTACTAAAAATACAAAACTTAGCTGGGCGTGGCAGCGCACACTTGTAGTCCCAGCTACTGGGGAGACTGAGGCAGGAGAATCACTTGAATCTAGGAGGCGGAGGTTGTAGTGAGCTGAGATCATGCCACTGCACTCCAGCCTGGTGACAGAGGGAGACTGTCAAAAAAAGAATGAGAAAACAAAAAAATTTAAAACAAGGAATTAAGATGAATCTCAAGTATAGTTTTTTAAAACTGATTTTTTTTTTTCTTGAGACAGGGTCTCATTTTTTCACCCAGGCTGGAGTGCAGTGGGGTAAATATGGCTGCCTCGACCTCCCAGGCTCAAGAGATCCTCCTGCCTCAGTCCCTTAAGTAGCTGGGACTATAGGCATGTGCCACCACACCCAGCTAATTTTTCAATTTTATGTAGAGATGGGTTTTGCCGTGTTGCCCAGGCTGATCTCAAACTCTTGGGTTCCAGCGATCCACCTGCCTCCACCTCCCAAAGTGCTAGGATTATAGGCATGAGCCATTGCACCCGGCCCCTGAAACAGATCTTGAAAAGAAGAAAGTTGTGCAGTGTTATATTCCTTCCTCTTTTCTTCCCCTACACACGCACACTCTGTTCAGGTGTTTGTGTGCATCCTCTCACCTTTCCTTGCCGTTGGCTTTTGCTTGAATAGGATGACTAGACAAGATCTGGAGGGCCAAGTCTGAGCTGTGTCATCTAACCCAGTCTCTTCATTCTCCAGTTGTGGATCTGGCTTCTCTTTGTTCCTCACCGGATTCTTAGAATATCTTCTTTCCTGCCATCTTGCCGTATCCTCCTACTCTGCTGGCCTCCTGATCCAAACTCCTTGGTCTGCCCCGCTGGCTCTGACTCATTCCTTACCCTGACCTTGCTGTCTGTATTTGCTTTGACTACCCTATGCGTTTCCTTAACCTAATTCTTAATTCTTGGCTGCCACCTCCTTGTCAAAACTTGGCTGAATCCACTTTGGAACGCCAAGGCGGATGGGACTGCCTGGGAAGAATGTGGAGAATCTGTAGCTCTGCCCCTTCCTCATTCTTGAGAACCAGGCTAGGAGCTGAGGGTATATGGGGAGAGAGAGAGGGAGAGAGATTTTTTTTGTTTCTTTTTCTTTTTCTTTTTTTCTTTTTTTTTTTTTTTTTTTTTTGAGACAGAGTCTTACTCTGTCGTGCAGGCTGGAGTGCAGTGGCGTGATCTCCGCTCACTGCAACCTCCACCTCCCGGGTTCAAGCAATTCTCTGCTTCAGCGTCCGGAGTAGCTGGGATTGCAGGTGCCCACCACCATGCCTGGCTAATTTTTTTTGTAGTTTTAGTAGAGATGGGGTTTGATCATCTTGGCCAGGCTGGTCTTGAACTCCTGACCTTGTGATCCACCCACCTCAGCCTCCCAAAGTGCTGAGATTACAGGTGTGAGCTATCACGCCCGGCCAGAGAGAGTTTTGAGAGAAGAGTACACGATCATACTGATCATCTTGGGCCCCATCGGTCTCCTTGGGTGTGCTATTAATGTCTCCTGGTATAGTCTTTCTTTTATTTATCCTTCAGTTTGTCTTAGAAACTGTTCTGAAAGTTTTAAACCCAGAGACATCTCTCCAGCTTCCTTGCATGAGCTGTATTTTGACCGCTTTGGAGGCTGTTGCAGGACTCAGTCTTGCTCATGGTGATTTTGCATAGAGTGACATCTGAGTCGCTTTTCGACTGCATTCCACACCAATCTGTCCAGCCCTGCAGTTTGTGGGCTGACTCCTGTTGTCTTTCAACATACGGAGCACTATGAGATAGTGCAAGTTTGGGTCTTGTCAGGGAGTCTGATTAAGCCGCAGTCAGAGACAGCAGTCCTAAGTGTGAAATGTAACAGACCTTCTCAAGACAGCTTCATCTGTGAGCTGCTGGAGGTGGCTGGTGCCGTTCTGTTGGGGGTAGGGACTTACTAACAAAGCAAACATTTTTTTTTTTTTTTCTATCACAGGCTAGGTCTATGGTGGTAACATTTGGCAAGTTGAGTAACAGGGAACATAGATAACTGTGAACAGATGGGCAACTATTAAAAGATTTGAGGGGCTTTCATCATTTCTCAAATGGCCTTCATCTACCTACAGGATCCCCAGTTCCCTTGCAAGAGGATTACATAAAGGATTCAGTTACATTTCTCTTTCCTTTTTTTTTTTTCTTCAATTGCGATGGAAGCACAAGTTCTGACGTGAAAAGGAAAAGAATAGATGAGAAATTTCTAATTTTGAATCCCCTTAGGATTAGATGCTGATTTCAGCTGTGCAGAGAACACTGCCCCATATTTTACAAGAGTAACTGCTGCCAGTTTCAGGAGAGATGACTTTCCAAAATAGACGGTAAACTCCGCCCTCCATAGCTGATGACCATCTGACATTCAGACAGAATTACAGAGCTATACAAGTTTTGATAAGTATAACTTTGCTTTTGAAAAACAGCAATGGCACATCATCACTGTGTTGAAGCTCAAAACTGATAGAATGCAAAACACATAAGAGAAATGCACTGCCTGGTCCTCAGCAGAAACATAAAATATGTATTCATCTGAGAGCAATTAAATGTATTTACGCCTGCTTTAGGGCAGCAGTGTCTCTGATTCTGAAGCATGCTGTTCTTCTTTTGCTCAGAATGATGCTTGGAAGGTTCTTAAGAGGGAAAAGAACTCCAGGCACTGATTAAGAGGCAGCAAGTTGTCTTCTCTTAGGGAGCAGCAGCCTGATTTTGCCAAAAGCAGTCTTAAGTTAATATGGCTGGGGTTATGGTGGCTATAAGCTAGATCTCAGGAGACTGAACAAATTAGATTGGGTTCCATTCCTCAGAGGTTACCTTAATGTTGTAAATTCTAGGACCAATAATCTTAATGTAAGTTTATAATTTTAGTGGGTACTCACCCTATGCATATTCATTTAATTGTCTGTTTGCAAGCAGAAAAGATAGATACCCTGCTCACCCTCTTTTTTTTCTAGACTGCCTTGCTCTGTCACCCAGTCTGGAATGTAGTGGCAGGATCTCAGCTCACTGCAACCTCCACTCCCTGGGTTCAAGCAATTCTCCTGTCTCAGCCTCCCAAGTAGCTGGGATTACAGGCGCCCGCCACCACACCCAGCTAATTTTTGTATTTTTAGTAGAGATGGTGTTTCACCATGTTGGCCAGGCTGGCCTTGACCTCCTGACCTTGTGATCCACCCTTCCAAAGTCCTCGGCCTTCCAAAGTGCTGGGATTACAGGTGAAAGCCACCGCGCCTGGTGACCCTGCCCCATTTTTATCCACGGTCCTCTAGTGAGCTTCAGTCCCAATTTATCTCAGCCAAGAGTACTGGCTAACCGAAGATTCTCATCTCTACAAACCACCCCACCTAAGACTAGATTTTGCCTAAACATAACCACCAGCCTTACAAAAGGAAAATAACCATTCGTCCTGTTTTAAATTAAAGTCCTACATTTAGAATAATTATAATTTAAAATAATTCAGCAACAGAAGCACCAAAACAAACCAATCAGTAATAAGTGGAAAACAATTAGCTCTTTGAGGTCATGGCCTCTTTGCCTGCTAAATGATGCTGAGGTTCATAAACTCAGTTCTCCTGGGCTGGGCGGTTTGGTTTTATGTAACTGAGTAAACAAGGATTATCAGTGGGTTTAGTGTCCCCTGGAGAATTATACTTTCACAGAAGGAATTACTGGAAATAGTGAAAATATGTTCACACCATTAGCAGAAGAAGAGCTGGCAATATTAATTTTTCCATGTATGTTTTGTGGGCTGTTAAAAAGTAAGTGCTGTACCTAGAGTGTGTCATATAACAAGGAACATCACACAGGCACTTGGGAGCAGTATAAAGGGGGTGAATATTTGTGTATTACATATTGGGGTTGTAATAATCACTAATGGAATAGAAAATAAGCTCAATATAATACTGATTTTTTTTGTTCCAAGTTTTAGGTTCTTTTGAATTTTACATATTTTCCTGATAAGTAGAAATACTCTTTAGGTAATTAAAGCTATCCTATAAAAGATGCATGCACACAGGTTTATAGCAGCGCGATTCACAATAGCAAAGATACGGAACCAACATGCCCATCAGTCAATGAACAGATAAAGAAAATGTGGTATATATGCACTATGAAATATTAGTCAGCCAAAGATAGGAACAAAAGAATGTCTTTTGCAGCAACTTGGATGGAGCTGAAGGCCATTATTTTAAGTGAAGTAACTCAGGAATGGAAAACCAAATATCATATGTTTTCACTTATAAGTGGGAGCTAAGCTATGAGGACGCAAAGTCATAAGAATGATATAATGGACTTTAGGGATTCAGAGAATGGTGGGAGGGGGGTGAGGAATAAAAGGCTATACACTGGGTACAGTATACACTGCTTAGGTGATGGGTGTACCAAAATCCCAGAAATCACCACTAAAAAACTTATCCAGGCCAGGCGCAGTGGCTCACACCTGTAATCCCAGCGCTTTGGGAGACAGAGGTGGGCAGACCACGAGGTCAGGAGATCGAGACCATCCTGGTTAACACAGTAAAACCCCCTCTCTACGAAAATCCAAAAAATTAGCCAGGCATGGTGGCGTGCTCCTGTAGTCCCTTCTGCTTGGGAGGCTGAGGCAGGAGAATCGCTTGAACCTGGGAGGCAGAGGTTGCAGTGAGCCAAGATTGTGCCACTGCACTCCAGCCTGGGTGACAGAGTGAGACTCTGTCTCAAAAAAAAAAAAAGAAAAAGAAAAAGAAAAAGAACTTACCCATGTAACCAAAAACCATTTGCACCCACCCAAAAAACTACTGAAATTAAAAAACAACAATAATAAGTAAAATTTCATGGTTAAAAATATGAAAGTAAAGCCACCCCCCGTGATCGTGTCTTCCTCGTCGCTGTTGTTGTTGGTTTGCTCATCCTCCGTGATGCTCACACAGCATCCATTTGTGCCTGTGCTTTTCTAGAATGGCCAACATGCAGGGACTGGTGGAAAGACTGGAACGAGCTGTCAGCCGCCTGGAGTCTCTGTCTGCCGAGTCCCACAGGCCCCCAGGGGACTGCAGGGAAGTCAACGGTGTCAATGGAGGTAGGGCCACAAACTGTTGTCATTCTGGGTCTTCTTGTGGGTCACTTCATTTTGTTTCCATCATTTCATTCTCAAGAAACATCTCTATTATCCTTTAGCTTCCCCACTCCTTCCATTGTATGTGACCATGACGTTAACCAGAGGCAGACAATCCCCGAAAAAGAGAAAGGATGAAAATCAATCCACAATCCACAGAAATTATCAGTAGCTGTGCCTTTTAGAGACAGGGTCTCACTCTGTCACCCAGGCTGGAATGCAGTGGCGCAGTCATAGCTCACAGTAACCTCAGACTCCTGGGCTCAAGCCATCTCCCCGCCTCGGCCTCCCAGAGTGCTGAGATTACAGGTATGAGCCCCTGTGCCCAGCCTCAGTGCCTCTTACAAGCATATTCCATGTGTCTGATGTCATCATTCTTTCGTTTGGTGTTCATACTGCTGTCCCACACTCAATGACTAAATATATTATCTATGTAATTATCAAAAAAGAAACTAATGTGCTCGATTAAAATGTAAATTGTAAAATGTAGATTTTAATTATTTTTTCTTTTTTTTTTTGAGATGGAGTCTCGCTCTGTTGCCTAGGCTGGAGTGCAGTGGCATGATCTTGGCTCACTGCAACCTCCGCCTCCTGGGTTCAAGCGATTCTCCTGCCTCAGCCTCCCCAGTAGCTGGGAGTACAAGTGCACGCCACCACGCCCAGCTAATTTTTGTATTTTTAGTAGAGTCAGGGTTTCACCAGACGGGCCAGGCTGGTCTCGAAATCCTGACCTTGTGATCTGCCCTCCTTGGCCTCCCAAAGCGTTAGCATTACAGGCGTGAGCCACTGCGTGCAACCAGATTTTGGTTTTAAAGAGAACAAATCATTAAATTTAGGAACTGCAGTTTTGAAGGAAGCTAGTCTTATGTGAAGCCAAATATGACTTTGATGTAACATAACTAAGTCACAGTGTTTTACCTTTGCCTATTGCTAACCAAATATGCTTTTAAAACTATGTGCTAATACCATACTTTATAACATTTTTTTAATTATATGATCAAAAATAAAACGTTAGCTACTTTCTCAAAAAGGGTACCACATTTGGCAAACTCTCCAAGAAATCTATTTTTTCCAATTTCTTCTTGACTAAGGGACAAATAAAAATTACAAATAATTTACTTAATAATTTATTTAACAAACAAAAATAAACGACCAACCAATGAAATCTGAGTTTCAGAAAAGAACACTTTTTTTCTTTTTTTTATTTGGTATAAGCGTATCCCAAATACTGCATGAACTATACTGCCTGGTATGTACTTACAGCAAACATGTATTCATTGCTTATCTGAAATTCAAATGTAACCAGGCAATCTGTATTTAATGTGGCAACTCTGTTCTTGTCACATGGGCACTTCCTCCTTACCTGACCCATATTGAATCCTGTCAGGCTTTTTTGGGCTGAGAAAAAGCCGTGGGGAAGAAGGAACTTCAAAAAAAGCTTTCACCAGGAAAGACCTACATTGGTGCTTCTAGAATTCCAGGCGAGAATTTGGACCTGTGCCTGTATTACATGCCATGGGACAAAAATTACTGTGTGAGCACAAATGTGCTGGCTGGTTTATTTCCCCCCGAACATAATGAAAATGAAAATGCTCTGAATGAATTGAAAGGGGGTGTTGTTGAAACGAAGGCTGCCAGGAGCCTGTAAGTTTTTTCCGCACCAACTGAGACACATCTATGATTTCATTTTGAGCCTCTTTTTGTTAATTGTTTACAGTTGGCGTATGCGATTCAATAAACCTTATTTGTAAGAAAATAGTTTCATCCTCTCCCCAGTAACTTTTTGGCATCAGGTCATTAAAGACATTTCTCCAAATTACTGACCACAAATATGAAGCCTGTGGCTACACAAAACAAAGTTAAAATCCAACTACCAGGAGATTGTGTAGCATTGCTGAGTAAAGAAAAAAATTTCTATAATTTGAACCTCATTCATTCAAAGAGGTACTAGACCGAAGTCGGTACTTTGTAAAAATGACTTTTTCTAGAAAAATTAATTGGCCAAGTAGAATTAGAGGGTATATAATTAAATTATTTAAATTGTTTAACTGTTTACAAAAATATTTTCTCATATAACAAATTATTCCAAACCAGTTATTAAAGCAAAGCTCTTCTAAATCAACTTAGCCTGCGATTTATTATCCTACTTGAAATGAAGTAGGATAATTAATAAAATGTCTGAATGATATCCATCCGTAAAACATTTTACTAATCCTAAAAGACATCATTTCCATTTCTTTTTAATTAGTAAGTTTTGACAATTCTCTATTTTTTCATTTCCATTTCTTCTTAATTAGTAAGTTTTGACAATTTTCTATTTTTAACAAATCTGCGGAACAACCTTTACCTGATATGCAAGCATCATTACGATGATGTTATAGCCAAAGTTAATTTTTTTTTTTTACTTTAAAAGAAACTTTTAGGCTGGGTGCAGTGGCTCACGACTGTAATCCCAGCACTTTGGGAGGCCAGTGTGGGCGGATCACAAGGTCAGGTGTTCAAGACCAGACTGGCCAACATGGTGAAACCTCGTCTCTACTAAAAAATACAAAAAAAAAAAAATATTAGCTGGGCATTGTGGCTCGTGCCTGTAATCCCAACTACTTGGGAGGCTGAGGTAGGAGAACTGCTTGACCTGGGAAGTGGAGGTTGCAGTGAGCCAAGATTATGCCACTGCACTCCAGCCTGGGCTACAGAGCAAGACTCCATCTCAAAAAAAAAAAAAAAAGAAACTTTTAGAAGGATCATAATTCCTTACAAATACATAATAGGCATAGATCAAAGGACCACTCTGTTATTATACTGGTATTATGATGTGCTTTAGAAGGTGAGTATTTTTTGTTTTTCTCTGATGATAATCAGGTAAGCTCAGCTCAACTGTTGAAGAAATGTTTTACCTTTTTACAATGCGACAAACACTGTGGTAGGTGCAAGAAAATTGAAGGTGAGTTACACACAGCCCTAATCCTCCAGGATCTTTGGTCTCAATACATTACTATTCAGGGCACCAAATTCTTTGATTAAGGGATGCTCAAAGGATGCAGTTTGGAGAGAAAGACAGGTCTGCCCGCAGGAGGTGTGAACAGAGCTGAATGATGAAAGGAAATTGGAAAATATTCCCTTTTATCATCGTACCTTCTGCTATGTAGAGGACTCTGTCACATTTCTGAAACTTTCTCCCACTTTAAATACTCAGTAGAGACCTCCTTCAGGCCTCTTCCATAGCAACAAACAGGTTTATCTGTTTCCAAATGGATCTATAAGGAACCTTTGGGCTTTTGTTCTTTTTATGTTTCAGAAGTTGTTACATACTGTGCTGCGAACTTTAAGATAACTCAGCTTAAGCTGTAAATAACTTGTTTCCATCACCCTTTGGGCCTGTGGAATGGGTAATTGGGAAAAAGAGAAAAAGAAAGACGCTATCCTAATAGTTTTGTGAGCATGGATGATATGTTTGTACAACATGAGAAAAGGAATCTTAGGTTCTGGTTAGAGTTTTCATAGCTGTAGTGCTCAGTTTCTCAGTATTGTGTTTCTTAATATTAGGGACATGAAATCAGGGACTTAGATTGTTTTCTGTTAGTTACAAGGCAGGGAAGGAAATGCAGAACATACCCGTTGGGCAGTTACCACCTGAGCTTTGCCAGTAATTTGGCAGCTCTGAACCTCTCAGGTATGGGCTCCGCAGTCAATTTCACTTCCACTGTGGTCGCCCCCCCAACGTCTTGGGGAGTGAAGATGGAAGAAAGTGAGTGAAATCAGCTTTCTTTTTGTACTTGGCTGGAGTTCATTATTACCTTTTGATTGTCCTGGGTAATCTTGGTAACTGTTCATAAGGTCGTGATAGCACCTGAGCAGGCAGCTGTGGAAGAAGGGCCACTGGCTTTGGATGAATCGACTGGGTTCAGGTTTTGGATTTGCCTTTTGTTTGGGCTATAACTCAGCCCAGTCACGTGCTATGTTTGCAACACCAGTTCCTCGTCTATGACATTGTGATGGTGCCACCTAACTCCCTGGGTTAGGAGGGAATGAAATGAAATTACACAGTGTCTTTACTCAGGAGGATGAAAAATAGGAAAACAGTGTTTTCCTGAGCGGTTGAGAAATGTTTAATAGACATTGATTGAGAGCCGGGCATGGTGGCTCATGCCTGTAATCCCAGCACTTTGGGAGGCCAAAGTGGGACGATCACTTGAGGCCAGGAGTTTGAAACCAGCCTGACCAACATGGTGGGACCCCGTCTCTACAAAAAACACAAAAATTAGCCAGCCGTGGTGGCCTGCACCCATGGTTTCAGCTACCTGGGAGGTGAGGCTGGAAAATCACTTGTACCCTGAAGGCAGAGGTTATGGTGAGCTGAGATCATGCCACTGCACTGATGACAGAGTGAGACCCTGTCTCAAATAAAACCCACAAAAAACAAAAGCATTGATTGAATGAAGGAATGACTTAGCGAATGAATTAGTGAGAATGACATTGATGATATTAAACTTCCATATTTCCATCTTGCCTATGGCAAGGCAGTCCCAGGTTTTCTTTTCTTTTTTTTTTTTTTAGACGGAGTCTCGCTCTGTCACTCAGGCTAAGTGCAGTGGCTGGATCTCAGCTCCCTGGGATCACCTCTACCTCCCAAGTTCAAGCAATTTCCCCACCTCAGCCTCCTGAGTCACTGGAATTACAGATGCCCACCACCACACCTGGCTAATTTTGTATTTTTAGTAGAGATGGGGTTTCACCATGTTGTCCAGGCTGCTCTTGAACTCCTAACCTCAGGCGAACTGCCTGCCCCAGCCTCCCAAAGTGCTGGGATTACAAGTGTGAGCCACGATGCATGGCCAGTCCGAGGTTTTCATTCAACTACCAGAGAGTAACAAAATGCTTCTTTCCCCAAGGTGTGGCACCCTCCGTGGAAGCCTTTGACAAGCTGATGAACGGTATGGTGGCTGAGTTTTTAAAGAACAGCAGGATGCTTGCTGGAGACGTGGAGACCCATGTAAGTGCTTTCCTCCCCTGTTCTCAGTGGAGAGTTTAAACTTACCACCCCAGCCTCTGATGACTCTAACAACCTGATGAGATCTTTCTTTACTTTTTTTTACTCTGGCTAGGCAGGTGGTGGCTAAATCATTCATCACCGTTTATTCATTTAATTGTTCCTGCAATGCGTACGGATAGAGTGTTGTGGCACCGTTCTGGAAGCTGGGAGCATCGGGATGAACAAGATAGGCCATGTTCTGCTCTCACAGAACTTCCAGTTTAGTCTGGGAAACAGATGATAGCTACAAATACATAAACGAATTCAAGTATGTTAAGTTACGACAAAAGAATAAGAAAGCAGCGTCGTGTAGAGTGCTGGGAGCAGGGATATTGCTTGGGATAGGAAGGTGTATCTGAGGTGACACTGAGCAGAGATCTGATGGAGAGAGGGAGTGAGCCGTGGAGCGATGTAGGGAAGAGAGTTCCAGGCAGAGGGAACAGCAAGAGCGAAGGCTCAGAGCAAGCTTGGTGTGGTCTCAGCAGAACAGAAGGCCTGGGAAAAGACCAGGGAGAGGGGTAACAAGGGCTCAGAGTACAACATGCCCTTCTAGTGACAGTGAGGGACTTGGCTTTCCTTCCTGCTGTGATGGAAAGCCACCTGGGGGCACCGGGCAGAGGACTCGGGGTGATTTGATTTATGCTTTAAGAAGGTTCCCCTGGCTGAGCTGACTCAGTCAGCAGCCACCGTCTTCTTTCTGTAAAATGTGGCCTGAGGATATCACCTTATGTCCATTGGGATGGCTGCTATTTGAAGAACAGAAATTAACAAGGTGAGGATGTGGAGAAACTGGAGCCTCTGTGGGAATGTGAAATGGTGCAGCCACTGTGGAAAACAGTATGTTGACTTCTCAAAAAAAAAAATAAAATGGAACTACCGTATGATCCAACAATTTCACTTCTATATATACCCCCCAAAGTTGAAAGCAGCATCTCCAAGAGACACCCATGTTCATAGCAGCATTATTCACAATAGCCACGAGGTGGAAGCAATCCAAGTGTGCATTGACAGATACACTAAATGTGGTCTGTACATACAATGGAATATTAGCCTTGAAAAGGAAGGAAATGCTGCTACATACTGTAGTATGGATGAGCCTTGAGAATATTATGCTAAATGAAATAAGCCAGACACAAAAAGACAAATGCTGTGTTATTCCATGTATGTGTAGTACCTAGCGTGGACAAATTCATGGAGACAAAGCAGAATGGTGTTTGCCAGAGGTGGGAGGGAGGAAAGAATAGGAAATTGTTCAATGAGTACAGAGTTTCAGTTTTCAAAGATTAAAAGCTCCTGAGATTGTACAACGGTGTGAGTATACTTCAGTACTGAGCTGGACACTAAAAATGGTTAAGATGGTAAATTTTGTGTCATGTATATATCTTAATATAATTTTGAACCAAGTACAGCCTGAGGAAAAGCAAAAACACAGACTTTGATCTTCTCTAGATTGGAAGAGAATTTTAAAGATGCCTAAGCTTGCTTGCCAGTTTTAGACACTTTGCATATTTTAAAAAATATTAGCATCATCTTCGAGGTTAGTCATTGTTTGCATGCATTTAGTGAAAATCTAATGCGTTAGCCAAACCAATGAAAAACATAAAAAGGAATTTATCACTGGGGTCTTCTTCTTTGCCTTTGTTTCTCACTAAGGATTGAATTCCAAATCCACCTGCCGATAGTTTTCTCAGCAATGAGGCAAGCCTGGCAAAACCATTTTCAGTATAGATCCACAGAAAATCTGGTTCTTGAATGAAGTTGTGGTTTGGGGTTTTAAAAAAATAGTAGAAAGGGATTCTCTCTTTGCTCCCCTCCCAATTAGACATCGTATGCAACACCCCACACCATCTCCCAGGGGATCCGGTGACTGGTTACGCCAGTCTCCAAGATTGTAATTAAACAGGTGCGTATCTCATCACATTGCAATGTATTTGTTTGTCACGGCTAAGAAAAACAAAGATTCGTCTCCATTTTTGTTGAAGTACCCGTTGGTGAAAGAGAGAAGCCTTGGTATATATGAGTTCTGGAAAAGCCTGTGCAATAAGACGCGTCTGCATCAAACGCATCCCACAGCTCCATTGTTACTACTCTGGTCTGTTCTTTCCCTCAGTATTTTTGGTTGCAAGAAACCTCATAGGCAGCAAGAGTGGCTGAGCCTCTTATATTCTGAGGCATGATAACTCCTGAAAGCTAACACGTACAGAGGAATATTATCTGCAGCACACAAAAAGAGATGCTTGAGTGATTAACAAACATTTTCTCTCTTGAACACTATCACAGTAATTATTGTATCATTATGGTTTCTATTAATTAATGTCTACATTAGGCTTCCGAGGTACACAGGACATTATAACTCATTAGAAGTACCTCAAAAATTCTAGATAGAAGCTTTTTACAAGAGAATAGTGAGACCTATAAATAAGTATATTTAGCTTTGCATTTTTAAAAAAAGATTTAAGATTTACATGCTATTTTCAAATTGCATAGTAAACAGTCCCTTTAAGTTCTTTTTAGAACAAAGGGAGTTATAAGGTGTAACTCGATTAATATTAAGTTTTTCATCTCCTCATTCATCAGCCTGTAAACAGGATGACTCAGAGGAAGGAATATTCTCAATAACGAATATGTAATGCTTAAGGAAATTTATGTTCTCACTAGTTTTTAAAAAATAGAGGAAAGGAAAGAAAAGAATAAAAGAGGAAGGAAGAAAGGCAAGCGAGCGAGAGAGAAAGAAAGAAACACTTGTCATCTGAAAGTTGAGACTCCAGCTCTGCACCAGAAAGAGAAGTGCAGGCAGCTAGCGTCCATCTGCCCATGACTTTAATACTTTGAACATACCGTTTATTTTTTCTCTCGCTTATAGAACCATGTGTCATTGGTATTAAGCTTGCAGCTGTTGCCTCTCACATCAGCCAGAAGTGGGGGTTGAACTTTATTCCAAGAACACACCTGTTGCCTAGAAAAAAAAAAAAAAAAAAAAAACCCTCACATACCTGATTGTCCAGAATGGAAATTTGAGAATGACACAAATGTGCATCATGTTAAATCCCGCGCCTGTGCTTAAAAGCCATTTCACAGATACCAGTAAGGAATAAGGGCAGCCAAGCTATGATTTCACGTCTGCCTCGGTGTGTTGGCTGCTGGTTGGGCTTAATTTACTGAACACTCTGTAGTCTATTGACAGAACAGACCACAAAAAAGGGGAACTAATAGCTACAATTAGGAATCTCTGCTGAACCGAAGAGCGTAACAGGTTTAGAAAAGATTAGATCTTGTAAAGCCTCCTTGTGTGCAACCTAAACCAAAGGGCTTATTTAAACCACTCTTGAACCCAAAACCACTGACACAGCTTCCACCCCTTTTAAAAAAGAATGCATGACTTTATACATAATTGCATAAAGGCATAATTTTATAATAGATGTTGGGTAAATAGAGTTCTCAGTGTCAAAGAAGCAAACCCTCTAGAAACTGGGCCTACGTAGTACCTAACCCTTGGCTGGACATCATTTATCCGTAAATGGATTTATGTGATTTTGAGTTTGTCTTTTTTTTTTTTTTTTTTATGGAGTCTTGCTCTGTAATTCAGGCTGGAATGCAGTGGTGCGATCTCAGCTCACTGCAACCTCCGCCTCCCAGGTTCAAGCAACTCTCCTGTCTCAGCCACCCGAGTAACTGGGATTATAGGCACGCAACACTCTGCTTGGCTAATTTTTGTATGTTTAGTAGAGACGGGTTTTCACCATGTTGGCCAGGCTGGTCTTGAACTCCTGACCTTGTGATCCACCCACCTCCACCTCCCAAAGTGCTGGGATTACAGGGATGAGCCACTGTGTCTGGCCATTGAGAGCTATTTTTTATCCTATTGTTAGAATTCATAGCAGAACTTATCTCAGGTCTGTTTCTAATGGATGAGACAAACATGAAGCAACTGCCAATCATAGCTCTTCCTAACCCAAGTCTTTTTTGGAGATTTCTAGAATTTACATTTTAAATATTTATAGGAATCTGGAATATTTATTTCCTGTTCTTGATGGAAATGGATTTAGAAAACTCTTATTACTGGATGCTCTCACTAGTAAGTGGGAGCTAAACACTGAGAACACATGGACACAAAGAAGCGGATGGCATATAGTGGGACAACCAGAGAGTGGAGGGCAGAAGAAAGGTGAGGATCAGAACCTGTCGGGTGCTGCTGGGCACAGTGGCTCACACTTGTAATCCCAGTACTTTGGGAGGCTTAAGTGGGCAGATCACGAGGTCAGGAAATCAAGACCATCCTGGCCAGCATGGTGAAACCCCGTCTCTACTAAAAATACACACACACACACACACACACACACACACACACACACACACAAAATTAGTTGGGCGTGGTGGCGCATGCCTGTAGTCCCAGCTACTCAGGAGACTGAGGCAGGAGAATGCTTGAACCCAGGAAGCAGAGATTGCAGTGAGCTGAGATCACACCACTGTACTACAACCTGGGCGACAATTGCAAGACTCTGTCTCAAAAAAAAAAAAAAAAAAAAAAAAAATCTGTCGGGTGCTACACTTATCACATGGGCAGTGAAGTAATCTGTACATCAGACCTCCATGACACAAAATTTACGTACATAATAAACCTGAACGTGTACCCCTGAACCTAAACCGGAAGTTTAAAAACAGATATCATTAAAAAATTTCTTATTATTTAAAATGAAAGAACCACAATTTTAACAAAAGGGCAATAAAATTCAACTAAATGTAACACACGTAAAACACGCTGTGATCAAATCACCTGCCACACAATGTTCTGTCCTTGAGTTCCCTGACTTCTATCAAGGATGAACATGATCAGAAAGTTATTACAGCCTCACTTTTGATGAGTAACAATCACTATGCCAGATGTTCCTAGTCTCGACCATTTAATTAAATCATCTACAAAATACGTTGATCATTTTGTGTCATGCTGTTCATGAGTT